CGTAAGATTGCACCCAAGTGTTGGCCAGGGCTGGATAAGCTGAACATTTGACTAGGGAGACTCAGCTTCTAAGATGGCATCTCACACTGCTTTGTTGGAAGCCTCAGTTTTGTGTAATGGGACAGCTCCATAGAGATGTTCAAGTTTATTCATCACACTACAGCTAGTGTCCCCAGAAAGAGCAATCCAGGAGAAAGCAAGGAGGAAAACAGTCTTTTTATGACTTAATCTTAGAAGTAACACCCAGTAATTTCCACCACAGTCAGTTCTGTAGAAATGAGTCGTTAAGTATAGCCCACACTCAAAGGAAGGACATACAAGCTTCACAGAGGAAAGGCAGAAGTGTCAAAGAATTACGAACACACTGTATCCTTTAAAGCTACCATGCACAAATATGATAAAGTAACACTACGGGGGCAAAAGTGAAATGTTTAACCTAGGCTTGTAGAATCCTAATTCTCACGAAAAGTTGAGATGGGCAGTCATGATGCTGGGGAGTTGTAAGGCACGTCAGCAGAAGGAAGAACTAGGGAAATATCCTTTCAGGTAAAAAAGTGTGCTGCATTAACAAAACTCAAGTAAGCATTTCCTGAATATATGATACTATCATTAGTTAAATAGCACTTTATTTTATAAACTACCATGCGAGGAAAAATGCTGCCCTTGAAATATGATGAACCATTGATTGTAAAAACATCTTCATTTTAGAGCTATAAAGACATGAAATAAAAGCACAATTGAGAACTGATGAAATTGTTCATTTAATATTGGTAAGGCCTTGAATGAGGTCAGAGAAGGTGGAGTTTGAAATACATAAGGTAACAGAGGCTAGCAGATGAGGGGTCCTAGAAATCTGCACATAGAGCATTAAACTAATTTTCAGTCTTAGACTTTTAAACTAAATACTGACTAACAGATCTGTACTTTAGATGGATCGTGTGGCTACAGTGTATGACATGAACTGGATGAAGGCGAGGACACCAGTTAGGCTTTGGTTACAGTAAAAACCCAGCGTGGATAAGATGGTGACTTGAGCAACAGTCAGTGGCAGTAGATAGAATGTAGAGATATTAAAGAAAGACTCAACCAGAGTTAGTGATTAATTGGATGTGGGGCTGGCAGAAAGGAGAGTGAGCTCTATACTATTAAAACATTGCGCCACCATAAATTTTACACAATGACAATACATAGAGTTCTAATACCTTTCTGATTGTTATTAATTACCATTATTGGCATCATTATTCTTATCACTTCATATTTTATTATCTCGCTGCGACTAGCTGAATTCATGTTATTTAGAGAGACAGAATGATATAGTGAAAAGTGTAGGGACTTGGGAGGCAAAAGAGATATCACTATGCAATGCTGGCTTTATCCTGCATAGCAGGTGAATTTGGGCAAGATATATGACCTCTCCAAGATAGTTTCCTTACATTTTACATGAGGATGCAATGCCTCCCCTGTGAGTTGTTGTGTGGAACAGGGAAAGTTGATATTAAGTGTCTGACTTAGTGCTTCGTTGCCTGACATGCAGTGGGCACTCAATTAATGGCCGCTATTATTATAACATTCATACAGCACTTAATTTTACAAGGCAAATGACCATTTAGTTGGTTATTTTTCATAGCAATTTTATGTAACAATGGAGAAGGTAATGAAAAGGGATGAAGTCATTAACACTGATACGGGATAAAGAGATTCATACTACTGCTTCTACTCTAGGCAGCCAAGACCAGTATACCATATAGGCCATATATGTTCAAGAATCTACCCTGACCTTGGGAAGGGGATAATTTTGCAAAAGATGACTAATTTTCTTAAAGACTAATTTCATTGTTAAGTAAGTTTAAGAAATGCTGGGCTTTGTTAAACCAGTTTCTTTTCTTGCAGAATTTACCAGAGCTTTAAATATTCTCCAGTGTGCAGTAAATCTCTGAGAAGTGAGATGAGGTACAGCCTCCTCCAAACTTATTTGAGACTAGTTTTCTAGTCTCAAGAACACAAGTTTGGGAAATTTTGCAACAGACTATATTTCCTTAAATATCTGTATCTCATATGTATATTCTTTTTTTTTTTTTTTGAAGATTTATTTATTTATACAAGCACTGGGTACAGTCAGAAGCGCGGGAGGGTGAGAGAATTCACCAGAGCCAGAGCGGAGAGCAGAACAGGCAGACTGACGAAATACACTGCTGAGGGGAGCAGCGGGTGACAGGAGAGGTTTTCACACCATGTGGGACCCTCACCTGGCGGCCGGGGATCGAACTGGCGCTGCAGAGGCTGCGGGCAGCTTCGCAATCCAGCACTCAACCACAGCGTCACTGGGGAGGCCCTGTATATTCTTTTTTACCCAAGTTAGAAATAGTCACCATATCTAAGAAACACAGTAAAACTTTTTTAATCATGACTCAAGACAAGATTATCTTAAAACCACTCACATATATAGAAATTTTAATTTTTATTTCTTGACATTTATTGTCAGGAAAAATGTGCACAGAAATTAAAAATCACCCATTCCCATTTTATTTTTATGTGCATATAGGACAAGTTAAATGATTCCTATGGGTAATGAGATTATACATCTATAATAGATATAAAGAAATTTCTCCATGTATATATTTAAACCTTGCACAGGTATAAATGCCAAAACAGTGAATAAACATCTTTAAAAATATGTCTCTACCATTCTTACCTATTTAGTTGAAACATATCAGAGAGATACATAGGCATATACACTTAAGTACCACTGCTAATTATAGCAACATACATACAACACTGAAATACCACAGAATCAGGGTGAGCAGAGCAATACTACCCAGAAATAAATAAATCAATAAATCAGTGATTGTCTATCAAATTTCATCTTCAAGTAGCACTGATATTAACATCAAATCTATTATCTGTGATTGAGAGGGGATTAAAGAGTTTGGTCTAGTTAGTTTTCTGACTCGTTACGCACTTCACAATACACCCAAAGGTGGCCTCACCTTCTTTCTCAGTGAATATCACTAAAAAGGCTGGATGGCCTTGTTGGCATTTTACCACATGGTTTTCATAGTCTGCATCTTTAGTAGACTGTCAAGCATCATATATTTGATTTGGATAACTCAATGTATAGCCAGTATATTTTCCACTGACTCCTAATCATGGCTTATGGAATTGATCTTTCTTCCAAAATAACATGCCTTTTGCAGTACAGACCTACACCAATGAAACCCTCATCACTCCAAAATAGGCTCTTGGTGTTAAAATAGTTTATCTACATATTTCCAGAATGACAATGGCTTCATGTAGCCCACTCACTTTTTTTTTTAACTTGCTTTATAGCAAGTCTTTGTGTCTATTTTCAAAAGCATATGTACTGTATATTATATTCCATCCAACAAGCTCTCCCTGTGCAGTGATCCTTCGTATCATTGCTACAAATTGTCGGTGCCCCAGCGAAATGAAGATATTGATTTCACCATAACTCCTTTCACCACCTCCATAGGAGGCTCTTTCTTCAGATACAGAAAATGCATTAAAACCCCATGCTGTCACGAGGTAGATTAATGCCCTTGTGTCACAGCTCTCCTTGGAAACTGCATCAAACACCAAGCATTAGAACTGGATTAGGAGTCACTGAGACCTTTGAACATCCCAAGATTGCCATTCTCTTCTGTCCCATGTGAACAATAGCTCCATTTGCAAATAGAGTCATGAAAATAAAAATGCCTGGGGACGGTAATGCACAGATGCCCTCATGTCAGGTCTTCACACACAAAGCAGAATGGACAGTCATATGGGAGGTGAATCAGACAGCATATAATCAAACTGGGTAAGAAAAGGCAGAAACTGGAGAATGTCAGATAGCTGAAAATGCTTTTGAAATATAACACAATAAAATACATCTAGGAAAAGGAATAATTAACCTGAGTGACTTCTTGACCCATCGGAGTTTCCATTCTCAAGAGAGTTCATCCAATGTTTGCTTTGTCAGCTCAGCTTTCTATGAAAAAAAGCTTTTGCTGCTTCCTAGTTAAATCTCTACTTGCTTATTATCCCTCAGAAGTGATCCTAACTCAGTAATCCCCAATAGACATCTTGTGTTTTCATCTCTAATTTAGCAGGACCCTCATTTCAATTTCTTCCCAGAACCCTTTAAACAGGCTTGGCATTTCTACCACCATAAAAGCCATCTCTCTTTTCTCCTTATAATAGAAAAGAACCTCTTCTTCTGGACAGAGAGGCAGTGTTTGTTAGGGAGAAGGTAATTTGTCCCTTAAGAAGAAATAGTTGATGTAAATCCCATGATTTTCTGCTAATGACATTGATGAATGTCCCAGGGATTCAGAACTTCACAGATAGGAACCAAAGAATGTTCATAAGGTGACTTGTTGTTGCCTTGCAAGCTAGGTAATACACAGTTCCAAGGGGCATCATGCACAAGTGCGGAAGCATTTTTGGTGTCTACTGCATGCCTACAGTTCATAATTGGAGCTAACACATATGGCAGTCCTACTCTTCACAAGCCACATAAGACCAGTGAAAGATTGGGTAGGGTAGAATAGGGGAGAGTAGGGTAGGGTAGGTACATGGACTTAAAAGCTGTATTGTATAGGGTTGGTGGGAAATGAAGATAACACTTGCATGTGTGGGCACTGTGACTCTAAACGGAAGGAGAGAGGTGGCATTAGCAAAGGTTCACGGTGTGTGGAGATTTTGCTAGAATTTATGATTAGTTTTTTTTCTTTTTAAATTTTTTTTAATTGAGGTAATGTTTGGATACCCCCAGCAGGCATTGCCACTGTAGTGCACCAACCACCAAATCACCCACAGTCCACCACAGTCTGTTGTGTTTTTTTCCTCTTTGTTCTTTACCCCTTCTCACCTCTCCTTTCTCTGGATACTTCAGTTCAGTGGTCAGCTTTCAATTCAAGGGTTATTTTTTAACTTTGTCCTTGTCTGACTCTTAGTTACTCTATATTCCACATATCGGTGACACCATCTGGTATTTATCTAAAATTGTGGAACGTTTCATGAATTTGTGTGTCATCCTTGCTCAGGGGCCATACTATCTTCTCTGTATTATTCCAATTTTAGTATATGGGCCGCTGAAGCAAACACAAGATAGCCCTCCCTCCCTCCCTTCCTCCCTCCCTCCCTCCTTTCCTTACTTTGGTATTTATTTAGTTATGTAATATATTTTTTACATCATTTTTCAGTTTTGCACAATGTATGCATTTTCATCATGGTTATAGTCCCCATACAATTCCCACTCCCCCTTGTTTTCATCATACTCCCTCCCTCCCCCACTCCCCATACTGTGTCTCTGGTTTATAGTTGCTTGTTGATTTTGATTTTTACTTTATTACAATTAGTTTTTCTCCTGGTCCCTCATTTAGGTCTTCTAAATTCCTGCTATGAGTGCAAATACCATCTGGTATTTTTCTTTTTCTTTCTGGCTTATTTCGCTGAGCATGATCCCTTCCAGCTCCATCCATGTTGCTGCAAATTGCATGTGTTTATCTTTTTTGAATGCTGAGTAATATTCCATGGTGTATATGTACCACATCTTTTTTTTTTTTTTTTAAAGATTTATTTATTTATTTATACGAGCACTGGGTACAGTCGGAAGCACGGGAGGGTGAGAGAATTCACCAGAGCTAGAGCAGGGAGCAGAGCAGGCAGAAGGACCCAAGTACACTGCTGAGGGGACCAGCGGGTGGCAGGAGAGGTCTGCACGCCATGTGGGACCATCCTCTGGTGGCCAGGGAGCAGCCGGGGATCGAACCAGCGCCGCAGAGGCTGCGGGCAGCTTCGCAACCCAGTGCTCAACCGCTGCACCACTGGGGAGGCCCTACCACATCTTCTTGATCCAGTCATCTATTTTTGGGCATTTGGGTTGTTTCCATAGCTTACCTATTGTAAATAGTGCTGCTATAAACATAGGGGTGCAGGTGCCCTTTTGAATTAATGTTTCTGTGTCCTTTGGGTAAATACCTAGGAGTGGAATTGCTGGGTCATATGGAAGCTCCATCTTTAGTAGGTTGAGGAATCTCCACACAGCTCTCCATAGTGATTGGACCAGTTTGCACTCCCACCAGCAGTGCAGGAGAGCTCCTTTTTTTCCACATCCTCGCCAACATTTGTTGTTGCTAGTTTTTTTAATATGTGCTATTCTCACTGGTCTAAGATGATATCTCATGGTAGTTTTGATTTACATTTCCCTAATCTTTTGCTGTGCAGAAGCTCTTTAATTTGATGTAGTCCCAGCTGTTTATCTTTGCCTTCACTATCACTGTTTTGGGTGATATGTCTGTAAAGATGTTTTTGAGATGCATGTCATGTCATGTTTCGCCTATATTTCCTTCTATATATTTTATGGTTTCAGGTCTTATGTCTAGTTCTTTAATCCATTTTGAGTTGGTTTTTGTGCATGGTGTAAGGTAGTAGTCAAGCTTCATTCTTTTGCATGTAGCAACCCAGTTTTCCCAGCACCATTTATTGAACAAACTTTCTTTGCTCCATTGCATATTCTCTGCTCTTTTGTCAAAGATTAGTTGACCGTAAATCTGTGGGTTTATTTCTGGATTTTATGATCAGTTTTTTAAATGGAAGAAATTGAGTAAAGAAGAGAAGGCTATTAAAAGTGAATTTATATCTTTCTGAAATATATATCTGATGTCATTTCCTTGCCTAGTGCTTTCAATGGTTTCAATGAATAGAAAAAATAAGGCACAAGTCCATCATCATGATAAAGCCCTTCACAATCTCACCTTATGTTACACTTTCTGTTCTCCTGCTGTTTGATTGTCCACCCTATACTCTACCTCTGCAGAACCATTTACTCTTCCCAGATGGTGGACCTTTGCAGCTTCCATGCATCTACATCTGCTGCTCTCCTGTTGACTGGTATGCCCTTTGTCCTTTTCCTCCTGAGAGATTCTCATTCAGATTTCAGATCCATATCTACCACCACCTCTTCCAAGAAGTTTAATCCAATTTTCTTTATCCCCCTTACTGTCTCTATTGTCCTAGCCCACATTCTTCGTTCCCATCACTATCATTTGTATTGCATTACAGAAGTTTCCTATCGGGATTGCAATAATGTACAACCACATTTATCTACCCCTAAAGATTGAGATTCCTGTGTTCACAAACAGGGTCTTACACACTTTGCTCTCTAACACTTAGCAAAATAGCTGGCTACACCAGTAGTCTGAATTTTTCTGAGTAAATGACTTAATGGATAAAGAATTTAAAACTTCACTTTTTTTCTTAATCCATCTAAATTCTGCTTATCCTTTATGACCTAACTAAAATTCCAACTCCTATCCAAGGGCCCCCAGCCCAGTTCCAGCACACACACGCACACACACACACACACACACACACACACAATGAAATTACAAACTCACTAAATTTATCTTGTCCTGTTACAGGATTCCTCCCAGCTTTAGTTCTAAGATTTACTTTACCTTGTAAGAACCTAAATGTAAATCTTATACTTAAAAATTTAAAACAGCTCTTAATCTTAGAAGATAAAATAAAATTTAAGGGCTAAAACACGGATTATTAACTTCATGCAGGGAACATATATAGCAAATTTCTTATCCTTCAAATTGTTGAATATTGTACACTGAAAAGATGTGTTCTCAAAGGTAAGGAAATGGACAGAAGTCCACTGTTAAAGGAAGAGAATATTCATAAGAGGAGTAAACAACAAAAGGAGGAGAGTGTCCTCAGGCCATTAGGGTCCTGGGGCATGATAAACAGCAGTTTGGAGTTCTCATAACACTGGTCAGTCTAAGTCTTATGTCTAAAATTCCTCCAGACAAAATCAGGTTCATCCCACACATTTCTGCTTAAATTAGTGTAATTGGGTGTTAAATGAAGTTCCAAAGGCTTCTCTTAAGGAACACAGTATGTTTAAATGGGTTGTATTCAAATGGTATATGCTATAGATAGTGAAAATGACTATGAAAATTCAAAGTCATTATCAGCTTATTACAGTTAAAAAGTTGAAATTTTAATTAAGTAGCTATAAAGTAGTTTAAAATGATCAATTATTTTATTATTGTTTATTGTTTTTTTAAAGTAATATAGGCACATAGTGAAAAATGAAATGTGACAGAAGGACCCAGAATGAAAAACAAGAGCTGCCCATGACCACTGTCCTCATCCTGACCCCTATCCTCAACTGTCTCAACGGCAATCATCTATCATTCTTTCTGGTTTAGTTCTTTCAGTGTTTCTGCCATTCCCTTTAAATTATGGATCACATCGGGCCTCCCCGGTGGCGCAGCGGTTGAGCGCTGGGTTGCGAAGCTGTCCGCAGCAGCGCCGGTTCGATCCCCGGCTGCTCCCCGGCCACCAAAGGAGGGTCCCACATGGCGCGCAGACCTCTCCTGCCGCCCACTGCTCCCCTCAGCAGTGTCCTTCGGTCCTTCTGCCTGCTCTGCTCCCCGCTCTGGCTCTGGTGAATTCTCTCGCCCTCCCGCGCTTCTGACTGTACCCAGTGCTTGCATAAATAAATAAATAAATAAATAAATCTTTAAAAAAAAATAAATTATGGATCACATCTACAGTCTCCTTATGAACAACCTCAGAATTTATAGATTGGCTGTATTGTTATAATAACTGGGGTGCTCGCTTATGCCATATGGAACTATTATTCCTTTCTCACTTTTTTCCAAGAAAGATAAGACTTGTGTCATAGTTCCTCCAGTGGTTACCTCAGGTTTCATCAATGACAACCAATTTCTAATAGGACAATGGTGAGTTATCTTAAGTCTGGCAAGTGGGACAGATAGAAAGCATTTTTTTCTCATTTATACACATATTTGGTTGAAAACACAACTGTATTTTTGGCTATTACAACATTCCATGACAGCTTTTGAAATATACCTACAGTGTAAGTAAACAAAATTGAAGCCTGATTAAAATGAGGGCTAGAATGCAAAAGTTAAATAAGCAGCTTAAATGGTGGGGGGAAAAAAAAAAAAAACAACTAAATTGGATTTCTAAACTTACTTTCACTTTGATCATGGAAGGTGTTATATATTACATTTTGATAGCTCAGAGAGTGACTGAAGTGGTAAATTTATAGAGTATCATTCCATTTAAATGAACAGCAGGATATATTTGCAGAAACAGATTAATGTTTCTTGGAAATTTATTAACACCTGCTTGTTTTTCTACACTCCTGTTGTTATGTGGACTTTCTATCCATCATATGTAAATTCCATTATTATTTTTAAAAATAAAAAGATAATGAAACTGAAAGATCTGTTTCACACATTATATCCAGTGAGGAATGCAGTCAAATGTAGTCGATGTCCCATTGTTAGGTTGATGAGACATTTTGGAAAGCCTCAGGGCTTTACAAACCTAAGAACCTAAGAAAACAATAGAAATGAGGATTGACTGTTTCTTTTGCTTGTTATTAAATAAGTACATTGCCTACATCTATCCAAATTCAAGAGGAGAATTTTCCTGTTGAGTTTATAGCTTCTGTATTTGCTGACAAAGGAAGATTTTGTATGTTCTAAACTCAGTATGATGAGCACAGGAAGGAGCAAGATGGGACTTTTTTAATATTTTTATATAATTCTTATATCATTTTTCATTTTTGCACAATGTATGCATTTTCATTTTGGTTATAGTCCCCATAGAATTCCCATCCCCCTTATTTTGGCCCTAATCCCTCCTCTCCTCCCCTCCCCCCATTAGTGTGTCTCTGGTTTATAGTTGCTTATTGATTTTGATTTTTTTATTATAATTAGTCTTTTTCCTGGTCCCTTATTTAGGTTTTCTAAATTCCTGCTAAGATGGGACTTCTATCCCAAACTCTTGAATGACCCATAATCACCCTGGGGATAAAGAACAGCAGAAGAGGCTCCAGTGGACCCAAACACACATCTCATCTCCTACTTTAGACTTCAAGTATTTGAAGCCAAAATGAATTCAACCAGAACACGCTGATGTTGCCAGATAGATCAAGAGGCAGAGATCAAGTAGCCAAGGTGAGTCAGGAAGGGATATAGCATTTCAATTAAAGAATAACCCGATAACCCTACCCTATCGCATCCCAATCCTTATAATACTGAAGTCACACTATGCTA